CTCTAATGCCTCTGCCTTTCCTGCTGGACAGTGCTATTTCCAGAAAGAGTAGGAATAGCTCCAGTGCTTCACATTTGTAGCATCAGTAAGCTTTCAGTTGGTCAGATCACGCAGTTCAGTGTTGTATACTTGGACAGATACGACTTTTCTTCTGCCAAGTGCTGTATGCTCAAACCTACCTCCCTGCTAAGCCCTCCTCAGACCTCTGACACCCTTGTAAAGGCAGGTGGTCTGAAGAAGGCTCCCTCCAGGTTGTTGCACATGATACACAACACAGAACAGTGTGAGACAGCTGTCAGTTCCCTTCCGTGTCCTCTCCCCTCCTCCAGAAAGCTAGGCCCCAGATGGACGAGTTGGAAAGTTGTCAACTGTTCTCTGAAGGGCACTGAGAAAGTACTGTCAGGGAGGAAAAGGCAAGCGCAACAGCTCATTAGTCCACTAATCAGACAAGACGACCATCAATTTCGCAAAGAAAATGTTCTGGACGGAGAGATGGCAAGGGCTGGCAGAGTGTTGCCCACATGGCTCTGCAAAAGCTGCACATTTTTGTTGGGATTTGTAACCTGGAAGGGGGTGTGGTGTGGTGGGGGACACTGCTGCCTTGACGGATTCGTTCTTTATTCATTATATCTTTTCCCCATATGTGACCGCTGCACACTGAAGCATAAAAATCCTATTTGGCAGTATTTTTCCCGGTAGGTGTCCCGTGAATGTGCAAAAATATGCCTTGCTGCCAGAGCCATGAATGTTCTTGTGTGTTCTGCATCTCTAGCTTTGAGCTGACCCAGAAGGCAAAGGAGCGGTAACATTTCTCATGTGGACTTTCGGTGTTCCTCTCACACTTTAAATCAGATTCAGCTGTTATTGAACGCAAAAGCTTAACAAATTAATGAGAAGAGCGTAGCTCAGTGTAAAGATGATTGTGGTAACCCAGGCCCTATGATTAGCCAGAAACCCGCTTGCCATCAAGTTAATTTCAACTCATAGCAATGCTATAAGATAGAGTGAGCCTGCCCCACAGGATTTCCATGTCTAAAATCTTTACTGCAGCAGATCACCTCATCTTTCTCCTGTAGAGCAGCGGGTGTGTTTGAACTGTTGGCCTTTTGGCTAGCAGCAGAGCATTTAACCGCTGTACCTTTCTCTAGTAATCAAGAAAAAACAAACTGGGGACGTTGGGGGTGACAATATTAGCCTTCTGCTCGTAAGTAACAGGTCTTAGTCCTTTTAGCCCTCTGTCATTAAGTTTAATCTAATTCCTCTTCCTAGAGTTGTCTGCTGTCTGGTGTTAGCAAACGGCTGTTCATTATGAATTGTTCCTGTGGAAGAAGGGGCCTGTGCTTGGCTTAGAGCAGCTCATTGTTCATGTTTTTGAGTACTGCATATTACAGATGGCATTCACATGCCTGGAGTCAGAGGATGACAGCTCTTTTTTTCCCATTTAGTGTGGCAAATGTACACAGAAGTTTAGTACTTGCTCATTTATGTCATAATGTATGTACAGTATTCTGCACAACTGATTATGATTTTTTACCAACAAGATTCATTGATAAAGAGAAGTCAAGAAAGAAGAAGGTATTTGAGGCTGAGTGTGTAATCTGTTGTTCTCAGTCACTGAGCTGATGTCTTTCACATTGTGTCGTTCTCTGACCTTGTCCCCTGGCTTATGGAATACCCATCTATTCCAACTCATTGTGACACTACGAACCAACAACAATCACACTCATCCCGTAGATTCCAACTCATAGCAACCCAATATAGGGTTTCTCAGTCTTTGCAGGAGGCAGTTGGCTCATCTTTCTCTCCTGAGTAGCTGGTGAGTTTGAACAGCTGATCTTGAGATTAGTGGTGCAGTGACTAATCCTTCCACAAGTGTCTTCTACTTGAAAGTGGTCAAAAATCAAATGCTTTCCCCAAAAGTTAGCATGTACCAGGGGTGTTCAGTTGTGTAATTAATAATTCAGGCAAAATTAACATAGTAATTTCTTCAGAAAAAAATGGAAGAAAATAGTATGGCAATAAAAATTGAACGTAACTTCTTCTGTGCAACGCACCATGGGACTTTCTGGGTATACAGCAAAAAGAATCGAAAGCAGTACCACAAACTGTTCTTGTACACCCTGTGTATTGACAGCACTGCTCACAATAGCTCAAAGTGAAACATCCTAAATATGCATTGAGGGATGAATGTGGTGCATACATAACCAGGAATATGACTCAGCGATAAAAAGAAATTAAATCTTTAAACATGCTACAACATAGAGGAACCATGGAAGCATTAGGCTAAGTGAAATAAGTCCGTCACAAACAGACAGACTTTTATGATCCCACTTACGTGAAATGTCCAGATTGAGCAGATGCATAAAGACCAGTGTTTGCTTTAGTACTCACCAGGGATGGGCGAGGGAGAAATGGGAAGGTGCTGGTTTCTGTTAAGTGTGATGAGAAAAATTGGAAACAGATAATGTTAACAGTTGCTCCCCACAAGGAACGTAAATAACAGCACCGAATTATACATGTAAAAATGAGAGAAATTATAATTGTTTCGTTATTATGTTAGACCGGGTTGACTAGAGAAGCAAATCCAGGGACATTCATAAATGTGTATGAGAGAGCTCTATATTGACGAGGCTTTGTACATTGAGAAAACAGCCCAGCCCAGATCAAGTCCATAAATTTTATATTAGTCCATATGTCCACTACTAGTCCATAAATTCCTCTTCAGACTCACGCAGCACATGCAATCATGTTGAATGCAGGAAGATCACAGGCCGGTGGGTGGAATGTCTTGTGGATCCAGGGGCGGTGGAAGCATCTCAGCGCTGGTGAGGGTCTCCATGTGACTCCTCCAGCTCCAGGGCTCTGGCTGCCATCAGCATGGCGCCACACCACTTGTGAACAGGAAGGTGAAGCAGAGAGTGTGGCCCACCTCTTCAGGGAGAAAAAGAGGAAGTTTTTAGGAGCCTCCTGAAAAGGCCATGCCCACAAGGAGACATCATCAGGCTGAGTGATCTGATTGACAGGTTAGATTCCTCCCCTTCTCTCTTAACAGCCTCAAGTTGACACAAGATTATGTAACTACCACAGTTATGTATTTCACCACATAATGAAAAGTAAAAGTCACCTTTTATGAACATTTTTTGTGTCTTGATTGTGGTGGTGGTTACTTAACGGTTATTGTCAGCTCATCAACATATACACTTACAATAAGTGGTGTTAGCATATCGCTTTCATACAGTAAAGTTGATTTAGAAAAGACCTTCATGGGACTTCAAAAAGTTGCTGAATTAAAATGTGAACATAAGCAAAGGTG